GACAGTTGGGCCAACGATCAGGCCCAGACCGAAAAAGGTCTCCAGGCTGGCGAAAGTGGTGGCGACGTTGTCGGGGAATTCTTTGGCGATAATGGCGAAACTTGCGGTGAGAAACGCCGCGTTCCCCATAGCCTCCACGATTCTAATCACGAACGAAAGGATTATGAACGGATAATGGCCGTTCACTTTGTCCAACAGGCCGAAGAAGATGGCGCAGGTCCCCGTTGTCAGGATACCGCCGTTGAACAACAGCTTTGGCCCGATTCGGTTTAGCTAACAAAGATCGTCGATTTTATTGTCAAAATGTAAATGAAAACGTGTTGTGAGAACATTAAGAGAAAGTAACCTTATATTCTAAGTGTTTATGATATTATTAGTGGTGGAAATTGTTATATTTAATCATCGTGATTCTTTTATTTTGGTAATTGCAAAAAAAAAAATTCAAAACTTTAAAACTTAATTATTGTTGTTCTTTACGACGTTTGATTATAATTTAATTAATGTGAAGAAATTGATGAATAATATGAGTTTTAAGTGGAAGTGTTTTGGAAGCTGGCTCGAAGAGCGATACTTTATCTCTTCGGTCCCTTCGATCACGTTATTTTTGTTCTCCTTTTTCTTTCTTTTTTTTTCTAGTAGTAAAGATAAGAATGATATTTATAGTCACGTTCGAAGATTGAGAAACACGTCGATCTTAAATTATTTTAGTTTTATTTGGACATAAACTGGTTGAAAGTAGTTTCGTTAGCGGAGGAAGGAAAGATATTGGTGATGAAAAGCGAGCGCCTACAAGTAGGCAAATTAATACAGTAAAGTAAACTGGAACTGCCATTCCTCAGGTTTGAGATTACAGTATAGTCGAATAATTCTTTTTAATCAATTATTTACAAACGTTTCCTTTTTTTTTCCTCTTCACTTCAATATTTTGTAACAATTATTATGATTTTTTTTTTAAAGTTTCTTTAATTTGAAATCCTGTAACAAAATCTAATGTACCTACTTATGGTAACTCTCTTCCATTATTGCCACGATACCAAAATAAAATACCAACAAGAAAGTTTGATAGATGAAAACGTTAATTTAAAAATAATGCAAGATAATTCGAGCGAATGTTAACCAAGAATTAACGATAAATTATAATATAATTATTTCACTCACGTATTGTCCGTACAGAGGGCTGATGATGAACACGATGAACTCGAAAATCCCAAAGACCAATCCGTACTCGGATGGCGATGCTCCTTTCTTCTCAGCCTGCGAAAAAAGAAAAAAATTACCAAAAAATGGCACGCGAGCTTAACAAATAATTTTTAACCTTTCCAAGATTCGAAATCGTGTTAGACGATTCCATATTATTATGCTACGCATTTCGTCGCATTATCACGAGTGCAATTAACGCTGGCCATGATAAATCTTGATAAACTTTAGACACTTCACTCTCAGCGAAGAGTCACGAAGATTGTTGAAGGAAAACGGTTCCTCAGAAGATTTCAGAAAAATAAGAAAAACTTTTATCAATTGTTGCCTTGATTAAAATAAAATAATTTTGTTTTGAAGAAATATCATATGTAGATGATAATTAGATATAAATAAATAAAAGGAATAGTAATTCTTTATCGAATTGTTTAAAAATTAAATATTCATAAAAGAAGTATCATTATTTTGATTTTTAAATATACGACGATTGGAAAGACAAATTAAAATTAGTACATAGAAATTAGTGGTATTTTAGCTGTATATTAAAATTAGAAACTTGATTAAAATAAGATAAGAAATAATTTTCAACGACAAGATTCTGACGAAATATTGAAAAAGATTGATTCGTTTGTCTATTAATCTAGAAAGATGTTTTCACTCCATTTTAACGAATTATTATTTGTACAAGTGTAAATAAATTGTATTAAATTGCAAAATTCTCACGAAATTTTTATCTGCATTGTATTAATCATTCAGAGGTTTTGATAAGAACATTTTATTAATTGACACGAAATGACATATTTTGTGATAATAATAGGATAAATTGTCTTGTGACTAAGATGCGTTCTAATGTTCGTTTCATTTGGAAATATAGATTAAGTAAATTAATGAAAAGAAAAAAAAAACAGAATTAATCCTATAAATTAATACAAAATGGAAATTTTTTAATTCTTATGCTATAAATACTTTTGTAACTATTCCTACAAATGGATATCCTTTAAAATTGCAAAAGATAATTTCTTTTGAGAAAATAAAATAAATAAAAAATATTTCTCAGAGAATGTTTCCTTTATATCTCTATAAATAAACGTTCTATATTTCGATTTACATTCGAATATATCGATTTCCTTAAATCGGCATTACCATTCACGTTTCTCGAATATCTGGCAGCAGCCGATCAAAAAGTAGACGTGTTACAGATAAATACGCGATCTGTGTTCCAATTAAAGTGTTTACTACACAACGAGATTACGGATGCGAGTGTGTCATTACTATAATGAAGAATTTCTAAAAGATTGTAACAGAGATCAAAACAAATAAATTATCTTTTCTCACTGTCAGCATAATACGCTCCGAAATAGAACTCTAACAATAACAGGAGATAACAATGTGAAATAATTCATACCAATAGAGATAGTGTAATTACATTGGAAACGGATATATCTATCTCTCGTGTATATCTAACATAAGAAAATAATTTAAATGACAAAATAAATTACTTTGTACAAAGTATCGAACGAAGATGAATGTCAATCACGTAATTAAAAGATTCCAAGATTATTCTATTTCACCACGGATAAATTTTTCAAAATTATATAATAAAAATCACTCTTTTAGAATCCAAAATTTAAAATTGGAACGATATGTGAGAAAGATTAGAAAGTTTAAAAATCCGAGAAAGGTTGAAGAAAGAATCTGAGAAAAGTGTATTATCCTGAGGATTGAAAAGTATTCAGGAATGAAAAGAGGAGGGGAAAAAAAAGAGTTTTTAAAAAACAGATTTCTTTTCTGAAAGAGAAATGCAATATTCTATTGTACTTTTCTACATACGTAACGCTATTACATAAGTGCAACCATAGGTTGTACACATCGAACTCTAGTAAGTATATAAGTATACCTACTTAAATGCGTCATAGATAATTCTTGTTGTGTCTGGCATCGTGAATCATCGAAAAAGTATTTGAAACTGGTAATTCGATATAATACTTCACAATTAGCGACAATTTATTGCTAATTTATTTGTGACACGATCGATTATCGTTTCATAATTCTCACTTACTTAGTTTATCGATTCTTTAATCTTTATTGAATATATCGAATAATTCTTCTATCGAATCGAATAATTTTTAAAATGTAAAAATTTTCTTCGATCTTACAAGATTTTTTTTTTTTTTTTTTTTTTTTTTTTTTTTTTTTTTTTTTTTTTTTTTTTTTTTTTTTTTTTTTTAATTAAAATTAATATTTCTCTCGAATTAAATATTCATATAAATTTTCCTTGATCTCATCAAAGGATCTTACGATTTTCAAGATATTTCAAAGTTACAAAGTTTTCTAAGTTAGAATTTAAATAATTATTATGTACAGTAAAAGAGATATATATAGAAAATAATAATGCAATGAAGAATAATATAAACATTTGATTATCTCGAGAAAAGGAAGAAGAAAAAAAAAGATGGCGCCTTCCAAGTAGCCAAAATAGTAAAAAAACTGGTCTTTTAACTTGCTAATCAGAAAATTTCATTAACGTCTAGCTAATAAGATTACGAGTATTTATTTGACGATTCACTTAGTACTTGCTTTTTTAACTTTGTATTACGTTACGTTTATTGATTACCATCAAGTGCAAGTACAAGTTCATTTTCATCGTTTAAACATTTAAACCTTCTCATTTTTTCACGACACACGACACTTACTTTCGTTATATTATACTTGTGTTTTAAAAGAGGAAAAAAAAAAAAAAAGAAAGAAAATGGGG